GTAGAGACGGGGTTTCACCATGTTGACCAGGATGGTCTCGATCTCTTGACCTCGTGATCCACCTGCCTCGGCCTCCCAAAGTGCTGGGATTACAGGCTTGAGCCACCGCGCCCAGCCTCTCCTGTGTCTTTCATGTTGTTATTTGCAACTGAAAATTTTGTCACATTAAGGTTTCTCTCCAGTATGAAGTCTATGATGACATGCAACGTGTGCTTGTTGATTGAAAACCTTACCACATTCATTACTTTTGTAAGGTTTCTCTTCAGTATTAAGTCCATGATGATGTGCAAGGGATGATTTCTGACTAAAGGTCTTGATACATAAATTACACTTGTAAGGTTTCCCTCCAGTTTACAATGGTTTACAAGGAATGATGTCTGACTGAAGGTCTTGCTATATAGATTACACTAGTAAGGTTTGTCTCCAGTATGAAGTCTATGATGGCATAGGAGCAGTAACATCTGACTGAAGGTCTTGCCACACTCATTACACTTGTAAGGTTTCTCATCAGTGTGACATCTATGATGGCATGCAAGGTACCACTTCTGATTAAAGACCTTGCTACATACATCACACTTGTTGTTTCTTTCCTGAATGATCTGATGTTCCCTTAAGAGTGAGCTATAATTAATGGCTTTGCCACTCTCATTATATTGGAAAGATTTTTCTCTCCTTTGTACTTTGTTTTTGTGTAAGTAATGAAAAATGAAGGAAGTTATTCCCACAGTTATTAGAAATATGGTTTTTAGGCCTACAAGAAATTCTTTGGGATATTGAAACAGAGAAAGCATCATTGATAGAATTCTCTACTTGATTACCAAATTAAATTTTCCTATGTCTTTCAAGGTGTTATTTGTGACTGAAAGCTTTATCACATTCTTCACATTTGTAATGCTTCTCTCCAGTATGAAGTCTATCATGACGTGCAAGGCTAAATTTTTTATTAAAAACCTTGCCACATTCATTACACTTGCAAGAGTTCTCTCCAGTATGAAGTCTATGATCAACTGAAAGGCTTGACTGGCGATTAAAAACCTTGCCAAATTCATTACACTTGTAAGGTTTCTCTCCAGTATGAATTGCCTTATGAATCACAATGGATGAATTGTAATGGAAGGTCTTGCCACACTCATTGCACTTGCAAGGTTTCTCTCCAGTATGAATTGCCTTCTGAATTACAAGAGATGACGTCCAACTGAAAGTCTTTCCACACTCATTTCACTTGCAAACTTTGTCTCCAGTGTGAGTTCGCCAACGTACTGCAAGGTATAAACGAGGTGTGATTTGGGGCTGAAAACTGTCACATTCTTCACATTTGTAAGGTTTATCTCAAGTATGAAGTCTATGATGACGTGCAAGGTTCGATTTTTGATTAAAAACCTTGCCACATTCATTAGACTTGTAAGGTTTTCCTGCAGTCTCAACTGCCTTATGAATTGAAAGAGCTGAATTTTGACCAAAGGTCTTGCTACACTAATTACACTTGTAAGGTTTCCCCCCAGTGTGAATTCTAGTATGCTTTTTCAGGTATGAATTACACACAAAAGCCTTATCACAAATCTTACATTTGTATGGTTTCTCTCCAGTATGAATTCTCTTGTGTGTTTCAAGGTGTGATTTGCGAGTGAAAACTTTGTCACATTTTTCACATTTGTAAGGTTTCTCTCCAGTATGAACTCTCCTATGTGTTAGAAGATATGATTTGCGACTGAAAACCTTGTCACATTCTTCACATTTGTAAGGTTTCTCTCCAGTATGAAGTCTATGATGACGTGCAAGCGTTGCTTGTTGATTAAAAACTTTGCCACACTCATTACACTTGTAAGGTTTCTCTCCAGTATGAAGTCTATGATGACGTGCAAGGCTTGACTGTTGTTTAAAAACCTTGCCACATTCATTACACTTGTAAGGTTCCTCCCCAGTATGAATTGCCTTATGAATTACAAGGGCTGCAGTGTGACCAATGATCTTGCCACACACATTACACTTATGAGGTTTCTCTCCAGTATGAATTGCCTTATGAAGTACGAGAGCTGAATTGTGATGGAAGGTTTTGCCACACTCATTACACTTGTAAGGTTTCTCTCCAGTATGAAGTCTACGATGGCATAAAAGGGATGATGTGTGACTGAAGGTCTTTCCACACTCATTACACTTATAAGGTTTCTCTCCAGTATGAATTCGGCAATGAACTGCAAGGTATGAACGACGTCTAAAACATTTGTCACATTTATTACACTTGTAAGATCTCTCCTCATTATGGATTCGCCAATGATTTGCAATGGTTGTAGCGTTACTGAAGACTTTGTGACAATCATTACATTTGTAAAGTTTCCCTATACCATGGATTGCTTGATGGTGAATAAGTGTTGACTGTGCACTAAAGGCTTTGCCACACTCATTACACTTGTAAGGTTTCTCTCCAGTGTGAATTCTAGTATGTTGTGCCAGGTGTGAGTCACGCCTGAAAGCCTTGTCACAAACCTTACATTTGTATGGTTTCTCTCCAGTATGAAGTCTACGATGGCATAGAAGGGATGACGTCTGACTGAAGGTCTTGCCACACTCATTACACCTGTAAGGTCTCTCTCCAGTATGAAGTCTACGATGGCATGTAAGGGATGACATCTGATTGAAGGTCTTGCCACACTCATTACACTTGTAAGGTTTCTCTCCAGTATGAAGTCTATGATGACGTGCAAGGCTTGACTGTTGTTTAAAAACTTTGTCACATTCATTACACTTGTAAGATTTCTCTCCAGTATGAATTGCCTTATGAATTACAAGGGCTGAATTTCGACCAAAGGTCATGCCACACTCATTACACTTGTAAGGTTTCTCTCCAGTGTGAATTCTAGTATGTTGTGCCAGGTGTGAAGAACACCCAAAAGCCTTGTCACAAACTTTACATTTATAAGGTTTCTCTCCAGTATGAAGTCTATGATGACTTGCAAGGTTTGATTGTTGATTAAAAACCTTGCCACATTCATTACACTTGTAAGGTTTCTCTCCAGTATGAAGTCTACGATGGCAAGTAAGCGATGACATCTGAATGAAGGTCTTGCCACACTCATTACACTTGAAAGGTTTCTCACCAGTGTGATATCTATGACGGCGTTCAAGGTATCGCTTCTGATTAAAGACCTTACCACATATATCACATTCCTTTTGTTTCTCTCCTAAATGGACTGTCTGATGTTTCCTTAACAGTGAGCTACAATTAAAGCCTCTGCCATTCTCATTACATTGGAAAGATTTTTCTTTCATGTGACCTTCCTGTTTTTGTGTGAGTAATGAAGAATGGAGGAAATTATTGTCATAGTTATTAAAAATATAAGTTTGGGGCCTACAAAAATTTATTCGGGATGTTGAAACCAAAGAAGCATCGTTGATTGACTTCTGAACTTGATTACCAATTTTCCCTTCAGTCTGAAATATGTGCAGTTCAGGCAGATGCAAATGAAAGCTCAATCCAAGCTGATCTTTAATAGGCTTGTTGCCAGCATGCCTTTCATCATATCGGTCTTTACTATCAGTGAACTTCTTGATCTGTGTCATGGGTGCTTCATGGCTATTTCTTTCATCTTTCTGCCATTGGAACTCAAAGTCATGAATATCTTTGTCAATTTCCTGGAAGCAAAGATCTCCAGTGTGATGATTTTCATGTGTTTCCAATGTCCTTGTGTGAAACATTTCTGTATTACCTTGTCCTGTTGATGAGACCATCTTCTTCATGCATTTGGAAGAGATATCTATAAAATACAAACATAAATAGGTTTCCAATTCAGTACATAGGGTAAATAATACTGAAATGTGTAAATATGACACAAAAAAAACCAATACTTATTTTAAACTTCCCAAGCATGATCTTAAAGTTTAGACATACAAAAGAAGTGACATTCTTTAATAAATAAAGGGCGATTATATGGACTTCAAATCATTTCTGTGAAAGCCTATTTCCAATATCATGTCAAAATACTGGCAGTATTTTTACTATATACCAATAAATGCTAAAGGACCACATAATATACTATGTTGGTAAATAATCCACAACAAGCTCATGTAAGGATAACCAAAATCAATGGAAATTCTGTATTGTCACACAATCACAGCACTCTGTAGATAAGAAAAGATTACAAAAATTCTGTGCTATCCGACAGAATCTCAGAAGAAAAGAAACAAACAAACAAAAAAAGAAATAAATTACAAAAATTAGCCAGGCGTGGTGGCCCATGCCTTTAGTTCCAGTTACTCAAGAGCCAGAGGCACAAGGATTACTTTAACATGGGAGGCAGAGGTTGCAATTAACTAAACCATGATTCCACCAC